AACACACGCAAAGACATATTGTAGCGGGTAGGCGAGCAGGCTGGGAAAACGTTTATTGATCCAATTCCAAAAACAACCGGTGTACGCGTTCAATCATATACATTCAATTCTTAACCGCGCGGCAGGATGATTCATGCCTCTTTTTGTTGGTCAATCCTTGCTGGTTTTGGTCCGCACTTGGCACGTACGTTGCCTCTTCTTCCGTGTGCCGTTCCGGCTGGTTTAGCCCGATCGTAGCGAGAGATACGTCGATCGACAGCTCTGACGTAGTGGCATTCGGTGTATGTCTTTCTGGCTAGCTGCGGATTGTCTGTGAGGCTGATTCGTTCGTTTCAGGTGGTAGTCAACATTGTCTCTCGAAGTACTTTCAGCCGCTATGTCTGCGCGTCTGGTTTGATGAGCCCCCATTCTTGATTCGTTCGTTAACCGAGGTCCCCTCCTTTAAAATAGTTGCCGCGGGTGTACCACCGATCCAATTCTTTACCATTTACCCATCTCCCTTGAGGACCCTGGTTGATCCGAAAACTGGCGTTCTTACTCTCCAGGACAGTGAATGGCCCCGTCCACCTCGGCTTGAACTCTCCGGACCCCGGCCCTGTTAGTTCGGGTCTGCCTTGATTCTTAAATTTTTCTAGATGTCCGGTTACGAACGACTGCCACTTTTGTGATTGGTGTTCTTTGTCGTACTTTGCGCGCTAGTTGCGCTGCTAGGTTTGTCTGGTTTGCTGAACCGCCGCTTTCTCTCCTTCCATCACAATATGAACACACGGATACTGCTCTAATCTGTTTGACTAACTTCCGATTATTGGCATTACTTAACGGATATCATGTGTTTGACGTTGTCGTCCTTTCCTTCGCCACTGCACTAAAATGAGAGGACGAACAGTCGACATCCGGAGCTAAAACCGGGTTGGTGGACCACTGGTAGTTCACCCCGGGGAAGTTGGTCAAAAACCCTGATTCCAAACCAACCGATTGGAGGCATACGAACCACACCCACACCNTTTCGGTTGTGACAATGGTCACCGGCTCAATTGGACACCTTGGGCGTTTGACCCCGTCCGAAGGACGTACGATCCGAGGAATCAGACACCGGCTCCCAAGAGATTATAGTTTTCACACACCGCCCCGCTGCCTTGTGAGTTAGGCTTTGGCTAACCGAAAGCTCCTATTGTGAATTCCTGAAGAAAATTCACTTGCCTTGGCCTGGACGACCTGGCAGTATTCAGCCCGTATGCAAATTATGGAACGTTTTTCTTTTTTATAACGATTATAATACCATAATTTGTTTAACACACACTCTCTCTCTCTCTGCAGACAAATGTGAAATATAATAATAATAATAACCTTTCCTTTGCTGTGTACTAAATACGAGTGAGGTAGACCTATTCAGACTGCTCTGCATGTAATAAACTGTTTCCAAAAATTGCGAATGTGGTTCTAACCAGAACAGTGAACCAAAAGGAAAGGTGTGTGATACAGATCCGGGTTACAATGAAGCTGTCTGTGATCAGAGTTGGACGACAGTGGCGGGGTTTGAACCTCGAATCTGAGGACCCGGAACACACCAGTGACAGTTAAATAAATCACCACTTACCACAGTACCAAAAGTGAACCACGAGTCCACAATTACACACTATGCGATGAATAAATAAATATCTGTGCTGTACGAATGAAAAAAGCCTTCAGACGAAAAAAAATTTCACCAGAGAACTACAGAACAACGGACAGCGTTGCCCCAGCTACTACACAGCTGATTTAAGGAAACATGCACGAATCTTGAAACGGTTGACGCATAGAGAAACGGCGACATGAACGCCATTTCTATCCGTTTGTTGTCCTACTTTCCAGCTTTATTCGATATTTTGGACTTCAACCAACATATGACGCTAAATACCACTCCCTCCCCTCGTGTACACACGCCTCTCCACATTGCATTTCCACATCGAGATGAACAACTAATTTTCTGACATGTTCAATTTGCACATGTCAACGAACTGCCCAAATTGATCAAGCCTGGTCGCGAACAGATCGCGGCGAAGGATCATGCACAAATCCCCACGGGGTCAGGATTTGGCTGAGACCATATGGACTGGACAAGTGAGACTATCCAGTATATTTTGGACCGTGTAGGCGCGCCACGCCACGTTAGGTACTACTATGTCTCACCAGAAATGTCAGAGGTGGCCAAGACAATCGAGATTCGAGTGGGGAATAATGAAGAAGCACACACGTTAATTGTGACAGATTTCCCTTAGGGTGAACTGGTGTTCCCCATGCAGCTTGTAGATTGTTGAACCTTTGAGTTCCCATGTGAAGAACTCGCGCACATGTACGATCCAGGCATTTGTAACTCCAGGTTTATCAACCGAATCTCGACAGATTCAAATTAAAATCAAATATTTTTTTGGTGGAGTAGAAACTTGGACATGGAGAGAACAGGATAAAGATAGACTGTCGGTGTTGGAACATCGCTGTCTACGCGGCATTGCACGAATCTGGTGGGGCAGCCGGACGAGCAATGTTGAGGTCAGACGCAAAGTTTTAGCCAAACGCAGTCGTCCACTGGAGCATAGATTACCTTGGTTGGGGTATGTGTTACGCATGTCACCGAATAGGTTGCCACGGCAAGCGATGTTTCCCGAGGCAGGTAGCAGTTGGAAAAAGGTCGGGGTGATAAAGCTAAGACCTGGCATGAGGGTATGAAAACCCTAACCAGGAGTCTGGGTCCCGTAGGTCCCGTTAGGCTTCCTGAATGGGGACCTCGGGATGATCGTAACCGATGGTTAGTGACTAGGTGATATGGCTGGGTATCATAAACATTGGTGTTCGTGCATCTCAACTTCTTTGCAAGCCTAGATCACTGAAATTCTCCATTTTCTGTTGCAGTCTACTTTCAACCTTCCTTTCCTTCTCCTATTCCTCATGGGTGACCAAAACCGGCGCACAAAAGTACATGGTTAATGGTTGTTTAAACTGAACTGAATTAATGAAAATTACAAAGCTGTTACTTATTGAATCCCATAGGATTTGAACACACATTGGATTCGGTTGGTAGTGCATTGAGATGGCAAATTATAACGTTCACTCATGGATGCTGAAAATTTAGGTATTTCAATGCTTCAGCGAGCCGTGACTTGAATGAATCGAACCCGTCTAATTCAAAGGTGTAGGTGGGACGAACTCCCATTCGGAAACAGAGAGATGGTCGATCGATTAAACTCGCATTTAACTCACAGTTACTTGTGAGTAGTGGTGTGGGATAATTGATATTTATTGATTTGGACTGACCATTCTTCGGACTTCATCTTCACGCACAATCCCTCTGCTTATCGATTCAACGATACACTTAGAAGCACTAAATTTGAGTTTCGCTCTTATTGAAGCTCATCGGTAGTGCATATCGGTGAATCGATAAACTGAGGATTGTGCGTGAAAGTGAAGTCCGAAGGATATGCAGTTCGAATCAACAAAGATTGATCAAAAGTTTGCACCGCCTGCACCTGCGTACGTCGGTCCTCCGACCAGCTAACAGCTCGTTACTTCCGGATCACTCACAGTCCTGTCAGTCAGTGTAGAGTGAGATAAGGAAGCTAAGTTTAGGCCGTTTGTTGAAGTATACCGATGTGTTTTCCTACTCGCTGTTCTCGTGGTTGAAAACGGTTTTCCCGTCACAAATTCGAACAGAGAAGTCACAAACAGAGGTTTGCACAATGTATGCACGATCATTTGTGTGAATCTGTGCATCTGTGCATGTGCATACCGCAACCCAGATGACTTTCATAGTCAAAAAAAATAACAAGAACCTGAGATGGATCGATTAGGATATCTGTCTTCCGAAAGAATATGTTTGTAGTCACGGGCAACTGGTGGATTTCAAGAACTTCGCCCCCCCCCCCAAAAAAAACAGCTCATACTCGACTTCGGCTATTAGTATAAAGGATTGTAACATTGAAACTAACTTCTCGGGAACACCTTCCAGAGAAAGGCAGTGCCAGAGTTTAGAGTGGTCAACTGAGTCCAAAGCCGATTTCAGATCGAGAAAGACAGAGGTAGTGGGTCAACGAAAAGAATGTCGATGCCACATAGTTTGGCAAAGAGTGAAGATGTGCTCGATACAACCTTGACCAGGTCGAAAACGTGTGCACAAGACGTGTGCGACAGACAGTCGATGGAGTATGATACCAGCGAGAAGTTAAGAGGCAATGTTGATCAAACTAATTCCTCTGTGGTTTTCACAAAACCACCTGTCGCCTTTATTGTAAATCGATACGATAACCGATTGACACCAGTCCTGTAGAACCTGTTCCCTCTCCCAGGACGAACGCTGACTGTCTATCCCCAAAGAACGCTGGGGATAGACCATATGGGTCGGGATTTCGACGGGGATTGTCAAAAGTCAATCGGATCTTTTTTAAACAAAAAAACGATGTAATTTTCAAGGACGGTCGAAAAACACAGAGGCAATTTCAGAGATAGCTATAGTTTCAAGTGTGGCATTGCACTACTACCCCATGATTTAGCAACTTCAGGGGTTTTCTAACTTATTCGAATGGGTATAAGTTGTTCAATAGTCAATTCTAAATTTCCTAATAACTTTTAACTACTCTGCGCACCCCAAAACTACGTGACTATCTTGCAGTGGCAATGTAGAACATTAATTTCAAGTCTTTTTCCAAAAATTACCGTAAAAACGGCCTCGCATAATCACACGAATTCAATTTACAAAGTATCTTAACACCTTAGCAGATACGATAGCACATCGGATTTTCTAAATCGAATAAATTCAGGCATAAGACAAAATGATCGAACAACGGAAGCGTTATTTCGCAGTTCAATGAGGTTGCAGAGACAGAGCGGTGTGTGTGTGTGTGTGTGTGTGTGTGTGTGTCGGGAGGGGAGTGGGGAGTGGGGGGGGGGAGAGAAGCAGTGTTGGACAAAGGAAACAGAAACCAGTCGGATTGGGTGAACCCAAACCTCATGTTGCCATGGCGACTTACTTTTGGTTGACCCGGTCAGCGGAACACGATGAATCGCCGAGCTGCCCGTGCGGGAGAATCCGGCCTTGTAAACCATCTCTGTGCCGGGAGGCAATTCGCTTGAACCCAGAAACGGCTCCGGGGCCAGTCGACGTTTTGCAGATATATCGGGACGTGACGAACCGGAATTGGTTCGCATTCGATTGGACGATGGTGTACGTCCTGTACCACGGACAGCTTGTGCACGTCGTTGATGCCAGTATCCGGCGGCCTCGGTCTCGTCAAAATCACCCCCGTTCAGTGTGAGGTCGGAATCCGAAGGTTCGGAATGGTTCAGTCCGTTCAGGTCGTTCTCATCATCGTTAAATTGGCCGGGCGATTGACGAAATCTGTCCGTATTGCGTGGTTCTGGGGTGCGACGCAAAGATTTCGGCGAAGTCTAATTAAAAAAGAACAGTGGATAGAAGACAATTCCAGATTAGATTGAAGCACTTTGAATTTGTGTTTTGAAGGTAAAATGATCTGTTTTTATTTTGTTTTCGAGAAATAGACGTAAAATGCTTGTTTGCTTCTTCCTGATGTTTGTATTTGTATTTGTATTTATACAACTTTTTCAAGCTGCGATATGCTTACATTTCAATTAAAAATTGTACACTGGTCGTCACACCGGAGAAAATACAGAAGTAAAAATAAATTCAATAGAGTGCTGTGTAAAAAAAATAAATGTCTCTAAAGTTTGATTCATTCAATTAAAGATAGACATAATTTATTTATAACTCGTTCTTTGTTGACCAAGATGTGTGCCAGATACGGTACAGTGGAGTTTTTATAAATGTTTATTCGAGAGAGTAGATGCCGATCAGAGGAACGAGTGATCGAGTGGGAGCGACAAGGAGATAGGTCAAAATGCAAAGGATGGGGGTGTGGTCGATTAGAATCTTATTGGCAAAGATCACGCAAGACTTCATATGACCATTAATAAGTTCTGTGATTAATGACCCAGCAGAAATTAAAGATGAACGGCTTATTATCATTAATCCACGACAAGCAGTTTTAAAGTCTTGTTTCAATAGACCGGGAAACACTACAGGAGAGCAGTAAAGTGAAATGTGCGAAAGTTTTCAGTTCAAAGTGTACTGTGTCAATGTTAATGCTTTTGCACGAAGTACCGAAAAATTCTGTAAGATAAAATGTAATAATGATAATAATAGTGATATTTTACTCTACATTACAAACTTATACAGAAAATCTATAAACAATTACTTGGAGAGGACGCATGGACAACAAAAGGCTACTAGGATCCCTGAAACAGTATTGATGTAGTTCCAACGTTGATTGACTACTGTTACACAGAGGCTCTGTCAGATGATGATGTCGATGACGATGATGATGATGATGATGATGATGATGATGATGATGATGATGATGATGATGATATGACGATGATGATGATGATGATGATGATGATGATGATGATGATGATGATGATGATGATGAATGAACGAAAAAAGATGTATGCACAAGTGCATCATCCACAGTGCCTCCGCACTATAGACGCGAGGTGATGTTGTGCTACCACCATCCGTGTCTGTCGATGTCAGATGTTTGTTCAACTGTTACCATCGATGTCATTCATCCTGTTCCCACATGGTGATAAGTATGAGATTGATAAAAAGAAAAAAAGTGATTTGGTAACCATTGGTGACCATTCGTGTGGACTGATGGCTGACTGACGATTGTGGAACAAGGACATTTTGGGTGAGAAAAGACGAGTTAAATTGCAACGGGGGGGGACGGGGACGACAGATGAGTACTTGAGAAACAGACTTGCAATAACTTCGGAAAAAAGAATTACGGAAATAGAACAAAGTGTAAGGGGTGGGGGGTGGGGGGTGGGGTGGTGGTGCGGGAAGGAAGGAAGGTGATAGTCTCACGTTGTTAACTGTACAAGCGCAATCTAAGTTGAACGATCACGCCAGTCACGTAACGCGACAAGTCGGATTACAGATGTGCTTACCTGAACAGTGCTCGCAGAGCATCTGTGCGATGTGAATTCAGTCCCAGATGTCTATAGACCTACAAATAACTATCAGCTTCGGTGGTTAGGGTACGAGCAGCACACATACCTGACAGGTATCTATTCCCCCCCCCCACCTCCACTCTCTCTCTCTCTCTCTCTCTCTCTCTCTCTCTCTCTCTCTCTCTCTCNTTTGCACAAGCCATATCAAGACAGGAAAAACAAACAAACAAGCGCAGATCAACAGATGACGTGGTATGGAGACACGAGAGAGAGCAAGAGATACTCACGGCATTCGCATGACTTCTCGACGGAGATGCCGGAGGTCCACGACGTTGACTGGTTCGACTGGACGGGCCTGGAGCAGTAGGGCTGCCGGATTTTGAACCACGCGTGCGTGTGGATTTATCCGCTGGGGTGGACGAACCACGTGAACCCAACGGGTATGACTGCGAAAGGTGGGTAAACAAGCAGGACACACGGTCAATGCGTGGACAGCACATTCATGTGTGTGTGTATGTATGCTTACTAATACGAATGAATTGGGTGAGAAAAAACGGACTTCGTTACACATAGTTTAACCCACAGTTATTCGTGACTAGTGGAATAAGTTATGCTGAAATTTGGTATGAATTATTAGCTTTGTTCATCCTGATTATTACCACAGCGCGGAATAACATTGAAGATGAATCGTAAAAGTTGTTGCCGGTGAACTTAGATAATCAAGTCCACGTGCCTGCAGTTCACTGGTTACTTTTTTCTAGAATCGACAAGTCGGGGTAATAAATACGCATCAGTGGAATTGAGATGGACAGGTCGGTTATGGAACGCGTAATCTAACGCCGGACGCGTATCTGTGCATTGCGGATAAAATGATTTCATTCTAAATGAGTCATCAACAGGTCTAACTACATTAGCACGATCGTAAACGGCCCATACTTCATGAGATTGTATTGGGTTTGTCATCTTGGGAAAAGATTGTAAATATTGTCCAACTGATGGGAGGCTGTTATGGCTTACAACTGACTGATTTGTGTTCACACATGCCTGTGGTCAAACTGATTGATCGATCAATCGATCGATCGTTTGACTGACTGAATTCTGGCTTGATGACATTCGCGTGTACTGCGACGTGTGAGCCGGTGTCGGTCTGCCTGCCTGCTTTCCTACACACTGATCGTTCCTACCTGTTCCCCAGTTTGTGTACCGGCTATATATTTGCTGTTTACAATAAACTTACTGCTTTAGACGTTGTGCTCATTTGCCTACTAAATTTGGGACACAACATTTGACGTCTCGGCCAATGAACCTGCAAAATGTTTGGTTTACCGTTTACCATTCATCAATTTTGGAATGACCTGTTCAACGTACCTCTTGTTGTGGATGCTGATAGGATGCTGACATACTACTGTTTGTACCCGGAGCCGGTCGTTTCGATTGTCGGGGACCGACTGCAGACATCGAACTGTATCTTGAGGTGGCAGCTGTAGTCTCGCTTTGTCGTGAACCCCAGTGTTTGCCTGCGTAGCTTGCACGTGCTCCCGGTGGAGGCATCTGGGTGTACGTTTTTACCGGGACTGCGTTCGAGACCCCCACAGGTGTCTCAATCAGTGAATTGTTTGAGGACGATCGCATTCCCGCAGATGGGGCGAATGTCACGTTGGTATTGGAGCTGACCAGTGAACGTCGATTGCTCCGCCGACTGGACGCACTGTGTTGGATTGTGAGAGATAGAGAAAGAAGAGTAGAGGGACCAAAAAAACACATGAGGACGAACAGACATAATGAAACAAACGCAAGCGATAGACAGAACGAGTGCATCATCATGGAACTGTCGGTCCGTGATCAAAACTGTGGCAGGCAGTAAGGGTTCTGACAGAAGCTAATTGGACAAGGAAGACACCATGGGAGAGTGAAGAGAGAGGGAGAAAGCAAGGAGAAAAGAGTAACAGATTGATTCCAGAAACTCCTGTAGATTGCTCCAGAACGGACAGCAAATTAAAATAATTCGACTATCTCGTTCCGCTAAGCGCCACATAACAGGGCTGTGCTCTGTAGTTCAGAAACTAAGTGCAAATGTCCCCAGTACCATGAACCAGCATCTGTGTTTTACGCAATGGAACTCAAAAGAACTGTCACGAGTGTTCATAGAGTTCACTGCTCACGTAGCACCAGAGTCAGAAGTATAAGAGGGATGACCTATGGTGGACGCACCGTTCGATTTTTGCTTCGGATAAGTTTCGGTAGCTCAGTGGTACTCCATTTCTAAATTCTAGGTGGTATTAGCGCGAACCGCGGTCTAACTCATCCACGGACTGCACGCTTGGGAGGATAAATTATAACAGGATGTACAGCGAATGGAATAAAGAAACACGAGTTAGCCCAATCAGCTGCAGGGCAAGCAGCGTGTTGTGTCCGGTGCAATATTTATGAAGGTCTCCAATAGTATTCTCCGTTGAATGATCTCTAACGAATATCCCTGGAGGCGGTGGTTCGTAAACGGAGATCATTGACACCGAGGCCACCGAGGCGATTAACCGTGAATAGACGGGCGTAGATCCAATGGCAGATTCACGGAGAGATTGTGATGGATTTCCGTCGAGCACGCGGCCTGTTTGCAACAAACAATTCAACATGTCTGTAGAAAGCATCGCGAACTGCGCGAATAAGGTGATAGACATCAACCACCAGCTACTCAACTGGTAGCGTTTCGCTATACAAAGAGCAAATCCGCATGGGGGAAAAACTGTCCAATGGCATCCCGATGCCATTGGACACCATATTCTTCCAATTTTTCATAGACTTCCCCGTGGAGGGCCGATCTATCGTTCCAAATAGGGAAGTCCGTCAAACGTAAACAGAAAGAAAGAAAGAAAGAATAAGTTATCTTGGATACTCAGCTATATACTTTCTGATGACAATTTCAGCGATCTCACCGACCCTCATCCGAAATCCGAATATTACCCATAATGATGGGGGGTTTCGCACAAGCACACCACATTATATGGTCTGGTCAGTTTTCATTTTCTTTCAGCCATATGACTGGCCTGCAGTAAGTCCTAGTTTCTCCGACGGTACGGGGAGGGGTCCCATTTTCAACATCAAAAATGTTCTCACGGAAAGTGTCTCTTTACCGCCTCCGAAAGTCTATGTAAGTATGGTCAAGGATGGGTGTCTAGAGTCGTGGCTGGTCACTCTTTCATTGCACCTGGAGAAATGCTCCCATGCGACCAAGCGTCTCAAATAGCCTGCCCCTGCTGAAGAAGCCCTACTCACTGTCTTCTTGTGGCGGAGGTGTTTCCTCACCAAAGTGAGAGGACGAAAAGCCGATATCCGGGTTGGTGGACCGCTGGTAGTTCACCCAGGGAAGTTGGCCAAAAACCCTGATTCCAAACCAACCACGAGGAGGCGTACAAACACACACACACACACACACACCTTTCCGGTTGTGGCAGTGGTCACCGGCTCGATTGGGCATTGAGGTGTATTGGGCACTTTGGATGTTTAACTCCGTTCGAAGGGCATATGCTCCGATAAACTGGACACAGGCTCCCAGTGGAATGCGGTTTTCACACACCGCCCCTCTGCTTTGCGGGTCAGGCTTTGGCTAACCGAAGGCTCCTGTTGTGGATCCCCCAGGGGATTTTGAAAATCCTGATATGAAACTTCCCAAGAAAAGACATACGAAGAAGACCCGAGAAAACTCGGTTCTAATAGCCTCCACCTGGGTCATGAGATGAGGGCACATTATATGACTGTGGTGACACCTGACCCGAATCAATTGTGGTCTTCACACACCGCTCCGGCACATTACGGGGTTAGGGTTTGGGTGGCCAATAGTGCTGGTTGTGAAGAAATTTACCTGCACGGAGTTGAACAATCCCGGAATGGTGTTGGTTTCACGAGAAAATCACATTTCAATTACTTTCAATTGCCGTTTGACATAATCCGGACTCAAATCAGTGTGAAATACAATAATAATAACCACGTGACTCGTCAACGTTATACCGGTGAGGCAGGAGTGGACATATACCGTACGTCGACGGCCGTTACATCGCATGGGAGTCAGGCACTGGAATGAGTGCAAGATCACGAAAATCTTATAACACTCCCGGGG